GAGGAGAGGAAGAATGTGCCCTTGAGGGGAAATAAATAAACGCTCACACTAACGACATTCAAGCTGCCCCGTATAATCAGGACCGAACAGGTCGCAACGGATACGAAAGTCTAAGTCTATAACAGTCATCAATCTGTCTTCAGTCTGAGTGTTAAAGGTGCCTCGCACACATCAGGTGTACACACATAACTCAGAAAGCAATCAAAAATAAAAAAAGTACAAAAGATGGAGGTAGAGAGAACATTATTCTAATGAAAGGACAGAGATGATTCATGGTGGAGATGATTCTTCCTGAGAAGAGTAAGTTTGCTTCGGTCGTGCAAAGTTAATATTTATTAGGATATTTGTTCACTGAGCTGCAGGCAATGGAAATGTGAACTAATGCCAATTTAGAATTTAGCGATTCAGGTTCTGAACTTAAGGTTGATGAGTCTTCTTGATTCCGTTAATGATTCTTTAAGAATCTAATGAATATATAAATATACTAAAAAGCAATACTGCTTTATGACAACATTTTATTATTTTCTAGAACTGCTTTAACTGATTCACACCAACAATTCATGAGTTCGAGTTGAATCATAAGAATCATTTGTTCGTGAGTCACACTGTACAATGTGAACTTTATGTTATGTTCATTCTGGCATGAACGTTGAGGACATTGGAATATAAAGATGTTGTCGATTATTTCTATATTATTTCATGGCTTTCCTTCTCGCATTCAATTCAGACAAATCAGCTAAAATAAAAGTAAATGATTCAGTGGTGAAAAGAAAGACAAGTCGTATAATTTGTATTGCATAGCAAATGTTATCACTAATTATAACAAAAATGTTTCATAAATACATATTTACAAATTAAAAATATTTATTTATCTTAATTAAATAAATAAAACAGTATACAGTATTAAAAAATAATTAAAAAACAATATACAGACTTCATTTCTTTTTCATTCATTCAACATTTTAATTATATATATGTATTTTATAAGCCTTATTTATTTTATATATTATTTTAAGTATTATTTCTATAGTATTATTAAATAATTTTGTCCCAAAGTCATGTCAAGTTCCTCCTCAGATGTTCTGATAGAGGGTTTCATCCTCCAAATGCCAGATAACAAATAAACCGGGAGTAAAAGCTTCTTTTAAAAGTTGCGGTGCCCTTGAATCATTCCGCAGATGTTTTCTCCAGTGTGTTTATAGTGAAGTGAGTGATCTGGAGCGGATTCCTGAAGAAACCCCTATCACAAGCCATTCTGCAGCATTATTACGACATTCACAGCTTTTATGCAGCACGTCTGCGCCGTCCACAGAAATCCAATTCCAAACTTGGCAGTGGTAGGAAGGTGTTTTAGTACACAGAGTGAGGAAAGTACATAATCATGTTGAGTGGGACGCCTGCAGGAAACATTAAGGGAAGTCTGTGTGTCTGTCGTTCTGGGTGGTGAGCGCCGAATTATTCACAGTGCGGTCTGGCCAAAAGACGCACTGCCATGTGATCGTGTGTGTGTGTGTGTGTGTGTGTGTGTGTGAGAGAGAGAAACACACATACTGTAATTGTAGGTAGTCCTGTGAGTGTGTATTCTGTTTGAATTAATAGCTTCCTTCAGGCCACCCAAAGACAAATTTCATGTTTAAACGCCTCAGATTTCAATAGTTTTTGTGTAGTTGAGGAAATTTTGCAATATATCTGTGGTTGTGCCTTGTCCCAAATTAAAACAACTACTTACACATACTGTAAAAAGATCACGGTTCCGATTCCACATACTGATTACAGTATTTATTACAACAAATTCAATCTAATAATTTGAACAACCAGTGACTGGGTTGATTTAAATCTCATACATTTTGTATTAGGGCTCCTTCAATAAATTATTGTAAATAATTTGGAAATATTTTAAAATTGAACTTTTATTTTATGTTTCATATAAAAATTGGATTTTATATTTCATTTTATTTCCTTTTTATTTTACATTTTCATGGATGGATGGATGGATGGATGGATGGATGGATGGGTGGGTGGGTGGATGGATGGATGGATGGATGGATGGATGGATGGATGGATGGATGGATGGATGGATGGATGGATGGATGGATGGATGGATGGATGGATGGATGGATGGATGGATGGATGGATGGATGGATGGATGGATGGATGGATGGATGGATGGATGGATGGATGGATGGATGGATGGATGGATGGATGGATGGATGGATGGATGGATGGATGGATGGATCTGCTTGGCTGTTTTATATTTATGTGGCAGAGACATGACAGAAAGGCTGCAGAATCTGTTAGAGAGGTGAGGGGACATTTACAGCACACATGTCTCTGCCTCCATCTTTCTCTCTCGGCGATGACAGCTCGAGTGTGTTTGCCTTCAAACACGGCTAGAGAAACCACTGCATGAGAGACACCGCTTTCAGGAGTAAACTGGCATTCAAACACATGATCCATGAGGGAAAAGTAACGAAATCAACAGAGCTCGGCCTCATCTCAGAGGGGCTTTTAAATCGTATGCTGCATTATATTAGCCGTGTGAATATAACGCTCTACAACAGACAGAAATCACTAGACATTCAATGACTGCGGTTCCAATTCCACTTACTTATTACAGTATTTACTAGAACAAAAATCTTTTAATTACATGAACAACCAGTAACTTGGTTATATATACAACCAATTCATTGGTTACTCCAATGAATTTTATTTTCAATAATCTGACTTCCAGGCCTGTAAAACGATTGAAACATTTCCTGAACATTTCGATTTCAAACCTTAGCAAGCTTATTTTGAGTTAGACATGATGAAAGTAATGACTTGAGTTAACTGATATAGTGAGTGAGATCATTTAAAGTGATAACTGAGACTGATTCTCGACACTTTCTGACCAATTAATGAAAAAAAAGTCTGTATGAGTTATTTGTTCAAATCACACAACTTTAATTTTATTTTATTTTTTTATGTTATTATTTCATTTAATTTAATTTCATTTTATTTTAAGCCTGGAGAACACAATTTAAACATTTTCTGAATGTTTAAATTGCAACGCTTATTTTGAGTTAGATATAATAAAAGCTTATTTTGAACATTTCTATAATTTCACAGGCCTAACCATACACCGTACTGGAGCACTTACAGAAATGCAATTTCTAAAAATATCTCAGCAT